CCCCAAAACCCCAAAACCCCTTAACTCAATATAATATTGCAGTCATCATTAAAATCTCAATTAAATGAATAATATCCATAATAAAACATTCTGAAACAACAGCCGCAAAAATTTAACCATTAAGAACCAATAGAAAAACTCTATTTTTATCTAATTTAATTGGCTATCTTGCTTATTCTACTACTCTAAATACTTGCATATTAAACAACTCGCTCTATCAAATCATTAAGCAGTTTAGTTCTTTCTATCAAATCATACTTAGGCTAATTCCTTGCAAAAAATAGCATATTTTAACCAATCTTAGCTTTAGTTTAATCAATAGCACTTTTGTGAACGTAAAAGCTTAAGTTATTTCTGTGATCACTTTGGAAATCTGATACCTCTGTTACTTATTTACAATCTTGATAACTACAGCATTATAGACTGGCAGATCGATAAGTCTGATTGAATACAATCTTAAATTTCGAAGAACATACATCATTTAATGTATTTAACTGCTGTAGAATTATAGAGAGTTCTGGATTTATAGAATTATTTTGACTAATCTTTTTCAAAGGTTAGATATGAAACAATGGACACTTAAACTAAGCATCTAGTTTATTAAAGTATTTCGAGCCAATGTCTTAAGTCTCTGGATTACTTATAATATTCAGAGAAGATACTTTATTATCTTTAACAATTTTTTAAAGGTAGCATTTGAATAGCGATTTTTATGAAGAGATGTTAGGCTCGTTATCACACTGGCTATTTTAAGTTTCAAAAGTAATTTTCCTTTGACTCGAGGTTTTGTCATCGTATTTAGGATCCATCTCACTATTTTCACTTAACAGCTACTACGATATTTTTATAAGTTCCTGCCTCGATTAACGATTTTTGGAAGTATTTTTCGTCATTAAGATCATGTTGTTGTAACTCATAATACTCTCTCAAGATTCTATAATTAACTTTAAAATTATACATAAACTTACCTTATCTTGTAATCTATCTGCTACTTTAGCTCATAGAAATGAAATTCCTAGATTGACTTTCAATCTACTCATTTATTAATTTATTTACCAATTTCTCCACCATTATTTTCTAAGCATTCAAAAGCATTAATTTCTCTTCTGATTTAGAGTAAATTATTTATATTTGCTTTAGCTTTATGTTGAATTTTTTCTGAATAATCGTTATCATTGCTCTTGATACTCTTGCAACTTATTTATTTATGTTTTGATCAATGGATGTTTCTATCATAATACTAATTTATAATATTCTTACCTTATTCATTGAAGAAGTTAAGATCAAAAATAGAATTCGAAACTTTGACTTGCTCAACAATTTAATCTTTGTCGTTATTTCTATATTAATATATCAACAGTTTTTATTTATTTTAGCCATCTAGAGCTGCATAATCTGTGGCCTCATGAATACTGAACCCTTTTGTTTCATTGAACATAAAATAATTCTTAATCTCTTCAAACCTTTGAATTAGTACTCTTTGAATCTTAGACTTCTAATATATTGCAAGCTCTTTGTCTTTATTATAACCAACAGGATATTTATTCCCTCTCTTGTAAAGTTGGCTCTTTATAATAAACTAGTTTTAGTCCTCAGTGATTGAAACCCTTTTTCTATAGTTATCTACTAGCTTTTTTATTAATGAGAGAGCTTTAACTGGCTAGTTAAGTTTTTACTTAATAAACAGTCCATTTTCTAGTACTATCTTATGGGTGATTATCAATCGCTGATCCAATAAATATGTCTCCTAGAAACTAATGCTCTGCAGATGCTAATTTAGATCTTCAAATTCTTTGTCTGGACTAATTTTTGATGGAGCTACACTCAATAGTTTTAGAAATTCAGCGAAATCCAATTATTTCTAATAGTTTTACCCCAATAGTTCATCTAGTTTTCTTAATCTTTTTTCTTAAATATTTTCAATTGAACCTTTAATTCCCTAAGAAGATTTGTTAGTGGAAATAACCAAATCTTTAGAACTTCTATATGATTCTTGAATTGTAGAATTTTCTCTTGACAGTCTGATTCTAAAATCTTAAAACTATGCATTAACTTTTGAAGTTAATTTATCAAACTTGTTGTCCATTTTTTATAGTCGCTGTTAGCTAAAGCAACTTCTTTCTGAGTTTAATTCTTGTATAATTTTAGACTATTTTGGTTAAGATGAAAGTGATCTCTTTACTATTGCTTATCCTTGAGCAGTCATAGGTCTAACTCTTTGATTTTATTGATTATCCTTAAATAGTGATTGATTGCCATTTAAAGTAATTTTCTAGGCTCTTTTTACCGGACCAGATATTTCTTATAAATCTGCATACTCTGTTTAAAAGAAATTCTTATCCCTTGATGATCTTCTTGCAGAATACTTCTCACCTGGAATCATGATGGGAGCAGCAATTTTGATTTAATCTAAGAACATAAGTCTCTTTACTTTTACCTGTTATTATTGATTCCCTATAACTGTAGTATTTTCATGATTTTAATTTTTCCTGCCACTTAAGCAACTTTTAACCTTAATCTCCTATTCTTAATTAGTATATTCCTAGAGCTGTTATTATCTCTATGATTAAAGTCTTTATACAGTTATTTATTTTCTAATTTCAAGATCATTTATCTAATTTTCAATAATAAGATGTCACTCTAGATATTTCCTCAGTGACATATCACGACTACCCAATTATTAATCATACAAGGCGATATTCTTTCGCTATTTTTCTTTTCTCTCATTAATATATGAAGTGTTGCGAGAAGTTTAATTTGAGTTGATTTTTTATTGGAATCTTATTGCTTTGTTTTAAAACAAATTAGAGGATTTCCAAAATCCCTTTTAAACCGGTGAATTGCTCATATTTACACAATCTTTAAATAATATTATCTTTAAACAGACACTATTAAAAAATAATTCATTCAAGAGTTAACCTATGGGGTTTTGGGGTTTTGGGGTTTTGGGG